AAGGATATGCCCCCAGTGAGCCGCTCGCCACTTCTGCGTTGCGGCGCCATAGTTGACTTTGCCTGACGTAGCTCCCCACCGACTGGCGCGAGACCATGGAGCATGCGCTCAAGAAGGAGCGGCGATGTGCCGTCTATGTCGCACCGCCTCCGGTTCCTCCCAAGGACGACGCGTCGGATGTCGCCAGTCGACGGGAGTCGTTGGCCATTACACTGGTAGAGGAGTTGTTTGACCAGGTGGAGGACACGGTAGGCATTGCCCCTTCGACATGCGCATCTCTTCATCGCGCACGGCCATGAGCGTTGCACTCACAGCTGGCGTCCGCGCCGTTCCCTGCAGCTCCCTGTACCGCCGCCGCACAGCGATATCCAGGAGCAGATCGAGTGCGTAGAGCGAGCGGAGAATCGCCTACAAGCGACACCGGTCATTACCAAAAGGGCAAGCCAGAAGTCGCTTCCGAAGGTGTGTAGTGCGCGATGTTTAATTCTGAGGTAATATCTTGCTGATCCGTCAATCTGCCTCCTGGATCAGATTTATCGCCCACCTACGCCCCCTCTTCCCGCTCAACACCCAAGACTGAGGTCGGTCGGCGGCCATCATTCTAGGTCGAGCTCTGAGAGCCAAACACATACTGTGAGCATCGATACATGCGGCTCTGTTGCGAGGCGGTCGTGCTGATTGCTGATTGGTCTGTGCAGCTGGACCAGGGGGTTATGTTGTCGGAGCAGCGCGACACTACGCCGTGTCCGTCCGTGCTTACCAGCTGGCCTAGCAGGCTTGCGCCTGATGTTTCTGTGACCTTGCACTCTCAAGCGTCACGAAGTCATATCCTTTCTCTCTCCGAAAACGACCCGTACAAACGGCGCGGACACGGGTCCCCCCGTGCCACTGGCAGCCGTCGCAGTGGCGTCTCGACGTCGACAGGCAACCGGTCGTCCGCGGGGCAGTCGCAATTTACGTGCCATATGTGCCGTGGCGTGTGGTGTGCTCTGAAATCTCTGGGTCTTCGTCTGCGGGCAAAGATGACCCATAGCTCGAAATACTGATCAAGGCTCAAGCATAGGATCTCGGATATGGCGCGACTGCGGCCTCGACGGCCACGAAGTACTCTGGCATGCTATCGTTATCTCTCCTTCGGTTCTTGCGATTTATGACTTTGATATGAACATGTAGCGTACTAGCTAGCTGTACTTTTACATACTTACTGCCCCTTCATGATGATCTTGCTTGAATGTACTTGAACTTGGTAGGCCAGCAACCGGAAATGCATATAGGTTTTTGCAGCCAATGAGCGTGGGCGACTTGGTGACCGAGGTGCGTCAATGAAGGTGACGCACGAGCAGTGCGAGCGCGCGGGTGTGCAATCATCACGGCTTGGGCCAACTCCACACAGCACACGCTCTCTCCCTCTACCCGTTTCGCGCGGGCCAGTACAGCATCTGGTCTGTTCTCTGCTATGCTTTGATATTGATTCATCTCCTCTGCCTAATACCTCGGAGACCGGGACACACTGCTTCTCTGAACATCTCCCGAACTCGGACGCCTCAGGCCTTGACGCGTCTTTCTGCCATCTCTCGCGCCGGCTACCTTAGCCTGACCAGCGACACTCTGCCCACGGATGGGGGTCCAGGACAATCAAGGCAGGCCCTCTGCCCGCCAAATATACGAAGAGACACTCTCGGGCGCGCGCCCTCCGCCATTCATCCCCCGACTACGTTCCGACCCGCCGCCGTTGCCGTCCATCCCACACAACCTGTACGAGTTCCGCGCCCGTGAAGGCGAAGAAGAACGGAGGGAACGTTTGCGTGCGCTATGGTCCAAGCTACCCAATCGTGACGCTGGCTATGGTGTGGACCAGGAGGCGATCGCGCGGGCGTACCCTGTCAAGAGCGACGGGGACCTTACCGCGGAGAGCGCACGGCAGCTGGACGTGATGTACGAGGATGAACTACTCGGGCGGTGCGGTGTGCACACACATGGACCGTTCTCAAGCCGCGTTTCATGGCCCGAGTTCGAGGCATATGCAGATGCGAAGGAGGCTGGTACGTCCGTCGGTGCTACTGGTGACCGGGTGTGGCTGAGCGCCGCGCGCAGAGCTGTGGCATATCTTCCACGACGAACTGGACCTCGACGGGAATGGCCATCTTGAAGCGGACGAACTCGAACACGCGCTGTCGAGAGCTGGTATGTCGGTCTTCGGTACTAGCGAGGAGAGTACGTGCTAAACCGCTGCTAGGGATCGACCTTTCTCCTTCCACACTGTCCGAATTCATCACTTTCCTCACCTCCTCGCCGCACTCGCGCGCTGTCAGCTTCAAGGAGTTCCGAGACTTCTTGCTCCTGCTTCCTCGAAAAGCGTCACCGGAAGAGATCTTCCGGTACTACAAGGTCAAGAAGTTTATGGGCGATGACGGAAGAGGCCCTGCCCGCGTAAATATGGAAGGTAAGGCAGTTCATCACCGGTGTTGCGTCCGTCTAACCGCTATATCCCCTCAAGGTGATGTGACGCTGAGCGCGGAAGACTTGTCGTTGGGACAGCCTCCGATCGCTTCCTCGTCAAAGGAAGCCCAGGCGATACCCGTGGACCACAATCTGCCGTACGAAGACGAGGAAGACGATGATGGCGACTTCGAGGAATACGAAGAAGAGCCACATCACAGCTGGTTAGGGGGCTCGACCGCAGTCAAGTTCCTCCTTGCTGGTGGTATTGCAGGGGCAGGTGAATAACTTCAGGGACAGATCATACTGCGCGATACTCACATTTTGCAGTTTCACGAACGTGTACTGCGCCTTTTGACAGGCTGAAAATCTTCTTGATAACGCGACCACCGGAGCTCGGCGGTACCTCTCTAACATCACAGGCTCCCGTTCGTGGACTGAAAGCAATAGGCGGTGCCATTGCTCGAATATACGCCGAAGGCGGTGTACTTGCCTTCTGGACAGGAAACGGTCTCTCGGTGGCAAAGATCCTGCCGGAGTCTGCCATCAAGTTCCTTTCATACGAATCATCTGTCAGTAATTCGCGTTTTTTGTTCGTTCTGTCTCCAACCCTCTGCCTCTGTAGAAACGCATGTTTGCCCAGTATGTGGACAAGGTGGATGATCCGCGGGACATCAGCGGCGTGAGTCGGTTCCTCTCTGGAGGAATGGGTGGCATCACCAGCCAACTCAGTGAGTGACATCATCGCCCTCCATTCACAGACGTTGACGTTCCTCTAGCTATCTATCCGATAGAGACGCTGAAGGTGTGAAGGGTAGATGTTGCGTGGTGGACGCTTGCTGACACGGGCCGTTTGCCTAGACGCAAATGATGAGTAGTGCCGGGGGACCACGACGTTCGCTCCGCGAAGCAGCCCACCGAGTATGGCAGCTTGGTGGGATACGAGCGTTCTACAGGGGTTTGACGGTACGTTTTTCGGTTTGCCAGGTATCAGGTCGACTCATTGACGTCGTGCTGCACCAGATTGGCCTTATCGGCGTTTTCCCGTGAGATGGCTGCATTTGTGTAGCTACAACATGGAAGCTAACCCTTTGTAGATATTCCGCGATTGACATGAGCACCTTTGAGGCGCTCAAGCTCGCATACCTCCGATCAACACACAAGGACGAACCCGGTGTTCTCGCCCTCCTCGCGTTTGGCAGCGTTTCAGGGAGTGTCGGAGCTACAAGCGTATACCCCCTCAATCTTGTCCGAACACGACTGCAGGCATCCGGCTCGTCCGGACATCCAGAGCGATATACCGGTATCCTAGACGTCGTACAGAAGACGTATGCGCGCGACGGCTGGCGCGGGTTCTATCGTGGCCTATTACCTACACTAGCGAAGGTGCGATCGTGTTCGCCGTGCGCGTCAAACCTGCTTGCTGAACGTTCTCGCCCCCCTGGAAAACTTCAGGTGGTCCCTGCTGTGTCTATATCGTATGTTGTGTATGAATCAAGCAAATCAAAGTGAGTGCCCCAGATTTCTTCTACACTCGCATCTGGTGAGGCTTATTGGCGCGGCATCACAGGTTGGGCGTGTAGTTGCTTTCATCACCTTGCTGTCGTTCTGTTCGGACCATGACATTTAGAGGCCGTTGCTTATTATCATCCCGAGTACCGCGCATTTGTATCCTCTACCCCGCACATTACCCCGCAATACACTAATATAGATACCGTACCCCTGCGACTGCCTGCGACTGTGTCGTGCTCGACGTAGCGAGAGAGAGCACGCCTGATGGATCGGGAAACTGCCGTACACATGCGTACACTGGTTACATAATCCACCAGACCTACGTCAGTCTTACAGTGGCTTGCAGTGTGTACAGACTCCAGTACTGCTGCCACCGTACACCTAGTCTGCACGCTCGACTATCTTGTTCGAGACCAATATTCTGCACTGCGGTTGCTATGGAATACACACCACGATACCCCCAACCGTTCACGCTGGAGGAAGCAAGGCAACTGGCGGTGCCCATCATCACGGAAGGTCGCTATTGTTTTTACGGCATATACAAGCTCGGCAAACCTCACCCGCATGTTTGCAGAGATCACGCGTCTGCAGAACTCCTTGACCCATTTGCGGAGGACACAAGAGGAGCTCAAGGAGGCTCTCACCACTTCTCCGGGTGATCCGGATCTCACTGAAGCGTTCGAGGAGAACGAAGTGGTCATGTACGTTGAAAAGCTTCTATAAATCACTGCATGCTGATGGAGCCCTGTAGTGGGTCCCAGAACGAGAGGGTTGCTATGTTACAGATAGTGCTGAACGAGAAAGGTGTACGAATGAGTGCCCACTACGGTCTTATACAAGAAACCACAGACCGTCGACCGCAGCCCGCTCGTGGTACAAGATCCGATGGGCAGATGAACGCTACAGCGGCGGGTCTTGGAAGACCTGTGACGAGTAGTCCGCAGCCCGAGAATACTAGTGGAGAAGATGCAGAGGGGGTGTACTTGTAGATGGGTTTTACCATGTCGACATTTGCTGTACGGAATGACACTGATGTATAAGCGGCAAATGGGTCGGTGGCGTAGTTGGTTATCGCATCTGTCTAACATTGCTCTCCTCCAAGGTTTGCCCTTGAGTGCACAGAAGGTCCTCAGTTCGAACCTGGGCCGACTCAACCTTTTAGCCACCATCTGAGAGGTCCAGAAATCCGTAAAATTCCTTGTGCTATGATGTTACATGGTTGATACGAGAAAAGTAAGAGCAGAGGGAACCTCGTCGTGAATGCCAGGACGAACAAGATAGGACCTCGGGGCACCGTTGACTCACGCTAGCGACGTTTGCGAGCTCTGTTCTTGGAGCTGCTGGGCTGAAGGAGCTGCATGAAGTGTCTCGAATCAGAGTCACGAAGTCTCCCTCAATCAGAGCCGCACCTTCTTCGAGCCTGCACCTGCATCCGTCTCCGGAGCCTCCGTCCTGCGGGTGGATGCTCTCTGCTGCACATGAGTGTATAGATCCATCAAGCACGACGAACGGATTTACCAAACGTTTGTAGGGCTTGGGAGCACCTTGATCTGGAGCAAGCTTTGGGGAGCGGGAATCGGGCTTGTTCCTCTTGCCAAGGGAAGAAGGCGGAGTCGGTTTGCGAACTACGGTCGGGTCATCGTCAAAGTCGAGAATTTCGTCTGAACAGTCGGTCGCGAGTCTGCTGAACTTCGGCTTTGCGGCCGCTTGGCCACCCGCGTTGACAACGTCCTTGGCCAGTGTGACCTGCGCGACAGGGCTGTGGACCAATGCAGCTGGAGCAGCTGGGCTCATTGCTGGCACACGCTTGGAGGAAACAGCCTGATCAACGTTAGTCGACTGTGCCCGTCGTCAGAAGGGCCTCTTGATGCTGCTGCACAGAACTAGAGACGGCACGCACCGTTGCCCCATCCCTATCAGGAGCCTGTACCGGAGAGCTACTCTGCCCAGACTGCGACATCCATGCTGCAGGGTCAATCATGGACCTGTTATCTTGAGCAGCGGAAGCCGCCTTTGCCTTCTGTATCACATGGCGTGTGAGCGAAGGAATACGGTGTTTCGAGAGCAGGGAAGGTGACCTGTGCCTTGAGGTGTTTCGCTAAGGTGGACTCCAACAGATGGACCTTAGACCGCATTTCCTTCAGGGCGTTGTCGCGCTGCTGGACGTCAGAACGTCTTACTGAGGCCACCATTCCGACCACATACGCGGCGCAGTTCATTGCGATTAGCAACCAGTTCCTGCTCGTGGATGGCTTGCGAAGTCTGAATCAGGGTATTGACGAATGTCTTCTCCTCGTCATTCTATCGCTGTATGAGTGCTATTTCAATCGCGCAAGCACTACAACTTACCAGGTCTCCGACTCGGTACCTTGCATCAATCGTCTTGGCCCGCAAGGTGCTCTTCATCTCAGCGGCCTCGAGTGCAGCGACTCGACCCCTCAGAGTGCGCAATTCCGTTTCGGTCTCCGGCGAAGGCAAGAGAGCGACTCGAAGCTGGTCACGCAAGTCGCGAAGATCATCTTCGAGCCCCTCGATGCGTTTCTCGGCAGAGTTGGATCGAGCTCGGGCTTGCTCGAGATCTCGGGCCAATTGCTCGGAACGTTGCGCTTCCGCCTCCAGGCGTGCGTTAGACATAGATTCCTGTTGCCTGAGCCTATCCGCATGTTCATTCTGGATAGCGCGCGCAGACGCTTCCTCCCGTCTAAGAGCTTCTTGCATGACGTCCATGGTAGATTGCAAACCTAGCTTCTGCTCTTGTAGAACAGAGATCTCGCATTGCAGCTTCGCAGTAGCTTCCGCCATATTTTTCTGTCAGAAATCAGTATCATGAAGGATTCGAAGGATTGAACAGACATACTGCATGAGATGTTTCTGCAGCTAGTAAACGCTCCTACAACGCAAAATGAGTAATGTCTCCCCTTCGCATATGGGGAATTGTCCTACCTGGACGTCACCGACCAAATCACGAGTCAGTCTAAGAGTGACAGATTGATCCTCGAACCGTTCTTCGAGAGCCTGAAGATACGGGAGTTCTGGTTTCGTGTCAGCGGCTAAGTGGTGCAGGGAAAGACGTACTTGACAGCGCGCATTGGATTGTAGAAGACTGGCAGTAGTTATGGGTCGGGAGTAGTACGAGTAGCGAAGTGAGAACGTACTCTTTCGCATGAGCTTCCCCCTCTCGACGAGCCTGGTCCAGTGCGACACTTAACTCCTGGATCTTCTCATGGAGCGCTTGCTGTTCGTTCATCAACTTGTCGTTGTCGTTCGAAGCTACTTCCACCCGGACAGTACTCGTGCCTAGCTCGTTTTGCAACCGCTGAATAACCTCGTTGGCTTCCGCAAGCTCTATGTCTAGACTTCCAATTCTACGACTCGAATCAGCGTCGCATATACTTTCACGGGCACTGCGTCCCACCTTGATGTGTACTCCGAGATTTGCGCATCCTTGCTTGCACCATGTGCTGTCAATCTCGAGATCTTGTTCTCCCGTTCGGCGAGGGTCGCCTTGAGTGCCGTGATGCTATGTGTCGCGTACGGGGTCATGTAGACATGCCCAATGAAATATGCGACCTACTCAGTCTCAAGAGAATGTAGTGACGAGATATAACTCTCTTTCTCCTCAATGACGTGTTGTAATCTCTCGTTTCTTGTACAGCCTCAAGTGAGAACGAGCAGATGATCGCCATCAAACCACTCACTCGGCTCGAACGGTGTTCAATGCGTCCAATTCGCCGTTCTTCTGAGAGATCTGTGCACGGAGTTCCTCGATTCTGTACGGAAGATGTGAATATCATTATTCAAAGCGCCCGCCGTAGCACACACCTCTCTGTTGCAGAGACGAACTTCGCCTCGAAATCGGCAGCAGTGATGAGGGCGACGTGCAGATCTGCTTGCTGTTTCTTCAAACAGGCGGCTATCGACGAGATCTCCTCGGCTGACGTTTCATGGTCAGTACTTATTCTGGAACATAGGAGCAACTGTGAAACATACTCATGCTAGCGATTGTAGCATTTGCCTTACAAAGCGTTGACCGTTCTTCCGCATGTGCGTCCTCGAGTTCCGAGACGCGACTCTTTGCTTCTATAAGCTCTCCCCCGACAGACTGCAGACGATCACGAAGAATATCCGCGACCTGTTGGCCTGCGAGCGATCATATCAGAACGAGGCGCGTGTCGGACGAGTGTTAGTTCACGTACTTCTAGAACACTCGAGCTCGAGCTCGTTCATGAGATTCTTCGCCTCCATAGACTTTTCCCAACGTTCACCATGTTCCAGGTGAGGTTCTATGCCTAGGTTCCAACGTCAGCAGGACGGAATGAAAAGAGCATTGCGAATGACATGCTCTTAATTGTTTGCGAGATCGTGTCACGTAGCTCTTGGACATCTGCAAGGGAGGTGCGAATATCGCTCGTCATGCCGAATGAAGTTTCAGATTGACTCTTGAGGTCGTTGATCGTAACGCGTAGTGTCTCTAGGCTAGCATATATGCAGTCTGAGATCGGGCACTTTAGAGATGTAACTAGACTCGCCTCTTGGAGCTGGATTGCAGACTCTGCTTGGCTGCATCCTTCACGGCCTTGAGTCGTTGGACCAGATCGCTCTTCTCCTTCCGTGAGCACTCCAATTGCTCTTGCAGAAATGCAATTTCTCGACGCTGGAGCAACTATATGCGCGCATATACACAGTCTAGACAGCGATGGTACGCACCTGTTCCTCGGTCTCGAACTTCGCGTTCCTCAAATCGGTCGCACCGCGCATCATGATAGTGGAGATGTCATCTTCTTGTCTTCCGGCGGAGCTTAACACAGATACACTTCTTGAGTGGGGACGAGGAGCCATTTCATCGTTCTGCGGCACAGTATAGGCAGGTCCTAGAGCAGAGTCTCCAGCAGGTTGCACAGCAAAGTACGGCGGCGGGTCATGAGATTCTTCTGCGACGGTGTATCAGCGTGCGGCCAGATATGCCCTCCTTGCGCAGCTACCTGGTTCCAGGCGTTGCCGGAGGCTCTTCGCAGGCTTGCTCTGCGAAAATGGGCGTAGCTTGGGGCGTTCAGAGACATGCGGCGAACGATCCAGCGCAGCACCTGGTGGAAAAACTCCAGCAGAGACCCGTAGTTGCCCGAGCGAACGTTCACCATGAGACATCGAGAAAGCCGCAGATCCATCGTTCTGGTTTTCGTTGTCGTGTGCCTGTGGAGACAAGAATCTAGAACCGACGGTGAGACGACTGCGTTGTGAACGGGATTGCCGAGCACGCTGCACAGGATCGAGGAACACCGAGTCAGCAAGTAGGCCTTGATCTCCAGATACAGCATCGCCTTGAGGTTGCTGTTGACGAATCAGAGGTTCCCTAGATGACTGCATATAGTGTCCAGGATGCGTTCTCGCGTCTTCCGTGTTTGACGGTGAGGTCCCGGGTCGGCCTTGAGGGTTGTCGACTCCAGTTTCGAGTGTTGAAAACAACGTCTTGCGCAGAAAACTGCCGTTCATGCTGGCCGACAGTGGACGGTCGAGGCAGGTAGTGGTAGAGATACAAGAGCCCGGGGAAGACGCCAAAGCGCGCCGCGTCGGTTACGCGACACGCACACGTGACCTCGCGTCACTCTAGCCGTTTCTGTTCGCTTGTCCTTTCGAACCGGCCACCACTCCTTGCCTCCCCTATATGTGGTTGAGCCACTTGGGCCAATTTTTCTAGAGCTAGATCTCTTACAACAACCAACTGCAATCTCCATCACCTCGATTTCACGCTATCCCAGCACGATATACACAGTATCACCAGCCACCACGCCGACCAGCAAACCGCCTCAGTGACCTTCGATGCCTGGCATAGTCCCGCCACCACCGGCTACTCAGCAGAGTGCCGTGAGTCTCTCAGGAAATGAGAAGATGGGCGCAAGGCCTATGCGGAGTCTCCCCAACCGATCTCCTCGTGCCACTCCCGCATGGGAAGGTCCTTGCAGAGCGCAACGACACCGTGATTACTACTTTGACGATGGAAACATAGTTATACGTGTACGTCACTTGGCCTGACGTAGACATTTCGCACTGACATTGTTGATAGGTAGAGGACACGCTGTACAAGCTACATCGGTCGCTCTTGGAGAGACATTCGCCAGTTTTCCGAGAGTTGTTCACAGTCCCGCAGCCTGAGGG